GACATCAGAGCGACCCAGGAAGCGATGACTGAGTCTGTGAGAAACAAAAATGCAGGAAATATCTCAAACGTCAACACTTGTGACGGTTTTGTAGTGGAGTCATGATAGCAGCGAGTGACTCCAGACTCTGGCCGTTTTCACATGACAGTCCAGATAGTCTTGGACCAAAATTGTAACATCTGTTTAATTTTCAGCTGGAACGGTTCGCTTTCACACTGCATTGTGTCAATTGATCCAAACTAATTGAAAAACCTATTCCCCTCCTTGCCTGTGGTGGTGCTGCATTTAGAACCACCAAAGAAAACACTGTGAAAGCCCCAGAAGAAGACATGCATACAACTTCCTTCTTCATGAAATGTAAACAAAAATGGAGTGGCATCAGACTTTAATAGTTCTAGGATTTCTCTTTCATCTTTGGTAAAAGACCATGAGCCATTTCTCCCGCTAGTTAGACTTGCGTGTTTGTTATGTATTTACCCAGAATGCTCTGCGCTATCGCTTGCTTCCTGTCTTGGAGTGCCCTCTAGTCTGCTTGCATCCACATTTATTTTAACTGCACCAGAGTTCACTTCAACCGAACCAAGATCTAGGTTTTTAGGTGAATCATAGTTCACTTTTTTGGTCCGCATCCGAGTTTGATTGAACTTTCAAACGTGCCCAAACGAACCAGAGTTCATTTAAAGCGAACTCATCAGGGCTGGTGTGAATGCACCCTAAAGTCCTAGGCAACATAGGCCTGAGTTTTCACCTCCATTCCCCTTTTAATGCTTACCTGGAGACTTGCCCATATGACAAACGTAATTTTTTTCTCATGTTCTTATGAAGAAGAAGAAGAAGTAGCAGACTTTTGTAGAGACTCAGGACAAAGAACTGAAATCCAATGACAACATCCAGAACTCAAAACAGGGACTTTCTGTTCTGCTTTGGCATTTTATTTATTTATTTTGGTGCTGATCAAATCATGGTGTTCATTATGTTCGTTTTATGTTCCAGTGATCTGTTTACCTCATCTCTTACTTATTCACAAACCATTTCCTGTTTTGCCTGCAGGATCTGACTGGGGTTTGTGCTTCATTTGTCTTAAATAGACTGAAAGTAGATGAAAATAAATATCTTTAATTAGAATTATTATTTTTCTGTCCTATCTTGAGTGTATGATGAACAGTGAAACTGATTATTTACATACATTTTCATAGATAAAAAGAACAAACTTTTCCTTTTAGCTATGAAAAGATAAAAAGAAAACTTTCAGCAACTTTCACTTTCGTCTTTCCACCACCACCAGGTGACAGAGTGACACTAACTGACAAGTTTGGTAGCGACACTGAAAATTGTTCAAATATTTAACTTTGTTTCTTATTATTTTTGATATTTTGTCAAGTTAATCTTGGGAAGTTTAAACTTTTCTACGTCATTTTTTGTTGTTTCCACTATTTATTCCTTTTACCAGTTGTTCTGTGTCCTGTTTTGATAGGAAATATGATGGCAATGCACTGTGAATTTTTACTTTGTTAATTTTTAATTTGTATGTTATTGTAATTAGTAGCAATTATTTATAATTTTTCATTCTCAATATAATGAAGAGCTTGATTACAAGTATTGTTACTGTCATCACTCCAATTATTAGTAGTCATTTTTTATCATTAATTTTTAGTCTTTTTCATGTTTTTAATCATGTATTTATTCATGGGCAGTTGTAAGAATTATAAAGTGTCCTTTTGAGAAACATTTTACTGTAAAAACTAATAGAAAATGTTAGAAAATATTAAAACTGATAAGATTAAAGTCAAAAGAAATGTTTTGTTATATGTTCTACTCGGTTTTTAATCATTAAATCATAATGTTTTCGTGTTTTATTTAAGGATGTCCCTGGTTGTTTTGCATGCTGTTTATCTATGATGAACGAAAGAAAAATCACAAACCCGGTCCAGTCCAGCTTGTGGTAACCATCACAACACATGATCCAGTTTTTGCCCCTGAAGCAGAGTCGGCAGGGGGTAGACAGGCTGCGTTTGTGTTCGCTTCAAACGACACGCAGTGGCCCTTAGCGCTGGGCAGCCTCAGCATCGCTAGGTCGTGGCCTCCACTCTGACCCTTGAACTTCCTATGAACCACGACCTGCTCCGCTTTGAGAGTCCTCTCCGACGCCCTGACGCGAAGCACGTACCTGGACGGGTCGCTGCCGAATCTGCAGCAGAGAAAGGGCAGGCGCTTTAGGAGGAAGCAGTGATCGGCGAATCATTTTGTTACAGGAAGTGATGAAGAGTGAGCAGCTGGATTCACCTGCTGAAGCAGGAAGCAGACGTCAGCGCCCAGCAGGGGCTGATCAGAGTCCCGCTGCAGAGAGGACCACCGGATCCTTCTTTAGAGCGAAGCCACACCGACACCTGCCAGGGCCACGTCGTCCTGGGAGCAAACGCAAAGTAAAGAAACAATTATTAATCTTTTTCTTCTTTTGGTTTCTAACAGAAACCTGACAGGTGTGAGAATTTTAATTCTGATCAGGGAATTGCATCAAAGCAATTGATAAAGTGCAAATGAGAATCTGGAAGAAACCTGTCTAAACTTTGAAGAAGGTTTTATTACATAAGGCTAATAAAGTCTATTTATTTTACACAGAGACAATGTATGACATTTAATTAACTTTTTAAATGAAGAGACATGTGATACCAGGTTATAGCAAAAAATGAACATTTCCACCTGTATCCCCTGGACAAGTTGATGGTAATCTAGTATAATTTCAGATTATGAAGTGATGAAAATTACTACACACATGTAAAATAATACATTTTCACATCTAACTAAAAACAAGGAAATAAATCAAACTACATACTGTTCATAAAAACAATGTATCACAAGTAGAATCTCGTCAATCAGTGTCTATTTATATATATTTTTTGAACGCTACTGTTACCAAAGCGCCAGAAATAGGAGTAATTATACTAAGCTTTCCTCATGCCACCACTAGATGGAGCCATTGTTCACCCTCGATTTACCTGAGCGTACTGCTTGCTCCTTGACTTCCTGTCTTCCCCTCGTCCTCCACCAGCTTCCTCATCCCGCAGCTCTCGTCCCGAGGTTTGGTCTTCGCAGCCGACCTCCGCGGCTCGACGTCACACTTCACCCCTGCGTCCTCCCTGCGTCTGCAGCCCTGGACGTTCAGGCCGAGTGAAGGGCACTCGCCCAGGAACTCCTCCTTCCCGGTGCACCTCACCTGGTCCAGGTGGATGGGCCCTTTCCCCTGACCGAACCCTCTAGCTGCTACTGCTCCACCACTGAGAAAAACAAACGTCCGGGGAGGTGATCTCTCTTTCTTTTCCTTTTTGCACAGATTAAAATAGAAAGGCACAAACTCTTGTGTAAAATGAAACCTGTGTCCAAGCTGTCTGCACACCACGGCGGCGTTGAGGTCGTTCCATCCTGAGTCACAAATACTTCCCCAGTCTCCATGGAGATACACCTCGACTCGACCTTCCTTCCTGCTGCTGCCGCCCACGAGACGCACCAGGGGTCCTGGCAGGGAGAAAAACTCTCATTTGCATTCATATTCGTGCGTGTTCCTCTGCTGGGATGCTCTGAACTATGTGTCCGCTGACAGAGCTAAATGTCATCTGGTGCCTCTGCATTCGAGAGCTATTCTCATTCTAATGACCTGAACATGTTGGCAGGCAGACATGAACCCCAGAGGAGCGTTTATTTTATCTGCAGCTATCTCTGAGACACACAAACACCTGTGCTTGACATCTAGAAACAATGTAGTCACATTCAGCGGCCTGCAAAAGTATTTACACTTGTTAATCCTCTCACATTTTGTCACATAATAACCATAAATGCCATTGTGCTTTATTTAAATTTGATAAAATATCACAAAGTAGAGCATAATTTCTGAAGCTGAAGAAATATACCTGCAATGTCTTTGCTTCAGCCAAAGACTTCACTGCCAAAACAGAAAATCTTACCAAGATTTTGTGTTTCTAGTGGAAATATCTTAGTACGCTTAAAATAATACAAAATTAACTTACAAGTGACTTTTCAGCAAGATACAGAAGTCTGTTTTAAGTTAATAATTCTTTAATATGGGTGAAAAAGTACTAGTTCCAGTGGCAAAGTATTTCAAGTAAAAATGGAATAATTGTTATAAATTATTTTACTGGTCTATCACATACAGATCAAACAAAATACATTGAAGCGTATAATAATATGTGGAGCATCTTTATGCTGTATAGTTTTAAGACTAATTCTGAAGTCACAGATACCATAAACATGTTATTAATTAAAATCTAAAGGTTAAATGACTAAGATAAGCTTGATTGAAATGGCGATAGTTACATAGTCCGAATAAACAGTTAAAAGTTTCAGAACATTAAAATCTCTTAGTTCTGGCCTGAGTTTAACTTACTCTACTTATGTGTCTCTGTGTGTTACCTGTTGAAGGTGCGATGACTGGCACTTCGTTGGTTTCCTGCCTGGATCTTCCTCTGCAACGAACGCCAACGTCCTCGCTGTGGGAGCAGTCCGTCCGTCCCCAGATCCCATGGCGACAGTCCAACAGGGACGTCTCTGATCCCTCGCAGTGGACGTCGTCCAGAAGGATCAGACCGACGCCCTCCCCGAACATCCCATCCACTACGACCTCAGCATGACCCCTGAAGAGTTAAGATGGCAGAGAATATTTATCTTTCTAACTTCAAGACAAGGGAATTAATTGAATTAAAAATTAATTCACTTAATTAACTCAATTAATTAATAGATATTAGATTATTTATTTTATTCTAATAAATAATGGTTTGTTAGATTAAAATTAGTTTCAGACAATTGATAACTCAGTAAATCCTGTATATTAACATATCAACATTTTAACAGAAATTGTATTTAATAATAATGAACAAACGCCTATTTATTTATTTTGAATATTTTTCAATTGAAATATCAAATTAAAATGTTCTTCGAGCGACACAAGCGACCAAAACCTCAAGAAAGTTTAGACCTTCTTCACTGTTGTAGTTTGGCCGCCATTCAGCAGAGGGCGCCGCTGGTCATCTCTAAGCGGAGCCGTTGATAAAGAAACAAAAATGGCGGCGGGGCTTTGCCAGAAGAGAAAGGTAAACGGTCCAAAAGGAGTCCGGTGTGGGATGGAAAATGTACATTGTGCTGTTCTGTTTTGAAATATAGACACTCTACAAACTCGTTGAGTTTCAGTTTAAAATATCGCTCATTCAGCCGAGCGGAGCAGCGTCATCATTGAAACGTTACTGACGTGCTACGAAGGTGAGGATGATGTAACGGAAAAGCGGTGGGAATAACGCAGTGCTTCTCAAATAGTGGGGCGGGCCCCCTTTGGGGGGCGCGGTGCGATACCTGGGGGGACGCGTGTGATCCTGGGGAACAGGCTTTTTTTTGGCCGAACTAGTATAAAGTGTAATTGCGCACAGTAGGCGGCAGTGGCGCTCTCATTGTTACTTCTGTCACGTTTGCGACAGTGCAACATTTTATGACTTACAAGACAACAGGTTTGCCTTGGTTAGCAGTGTTAAGTCAACAAAAAGCTCCGACTGCGTTCTGTCTATGGCCTCCGTTATTCAACAACCCCCAACATGAAAAAGTTTTTCACAGGGATGAAAAGAAAAGCGGAGAGAGACAAAGATAATGAGACAACAGAAAGTCAACCGAAAGCTAAGAAGAGGCGCTTGGCTTCACTGTGACTACAGTTGGAGAAGAGGAAAGACCGCTGTGTTTGCTGTGTCTAAAAATGCTCGCAGCGGACAACATGAAGCCAAATAAATTAGCGCGTCACTTAAATACGTTACATCCCAATCACGCCGATAAGCTGCTAGAGTTTTTTCAGCGAAAAAAATGTTAATAAGGAAAAAATGTTATGCAGAGATGGATAGTCACGGTGGGGAGTGGGGGGCGCGAATAGTTTTCTTCTTGCTAGGGGGGGCGTAACGGAAAATAATTGAGAAGCACTGGAATAACGCAACAAGATTGTAAAATGACGGGAAAAACAAAGTTGATTTTTGTCGGCTAAAGCGCTTCATGGAGCGAAGTTTGAACATTTCTGCTGATCTTGTTCCAGTTACGAAGCAGATGAGGTCTGCCAATGTCTGCTCAAGGGACTGAAGGAGAGTCCAGTCATGTCCCATGCTGACTCTTTGCTGCTGGCTGAAATGGAGGATGAGATCCGCTGGCAGGTGGGAGTGGTCTACAGCCAGGACAGCCAGTAAAAGTTTGACTCATTTCTGCTGTGATTAAATACAACCAGTTTACAATGGAGATGAACTTACTCCATTTACTTCAAGAATAAATGGAGTAAGTTTGTGAGAGAACCGCAATATTGTGTTTATTCGGTCAGCTTTTCATAGAACTGACACAAAATAATGTTAAAACTTAATTATATTATTTTTTAAATTCAGTATATTATGAAAAACTAACTCTTTATGTCATGGAAGGATGGTCAGACCTTTTATAAAAGCAAGAAATCAAGTGTTTAAGAGAATTTATTTAATTAAATGTTAGTTGATTGATAAAATAAATCAACTTTAGATTAACTCAATAACTTGCTTTCCTATCCAAATCATGTGGAGACTTGCAGCAACACACAAAAGTACAGCTTTAAAAAAAAAACATTACAATTACAATAAAAATACATTTTAAATATGCGTTTTGCAAGATTGAAGCTCCTACCTGTATCCCAGCTGTCTGCAGACCACCTCTGCATGCTGCTGGCTCCAGTGGTCGTCACACACCGTCCCCCAGTCGCCGTTGTGAAACACCTCCACCCGACCCTCCCAGGGAGTGTCGCCTCCAACCAGACGCACCACGCCATCTGAAACATCGTCGAAATCTACACTGTAGCCACCAGGTGACATTGATGTTTACAGACAAAACTGCTCTCATTCATTTTAACTTTCAGATTAATTACTGAGCTCACTTTAGGTACAGTAACTGACCTCTTTCTTGTTAGTTCCTGCTCGCCTCCGACAGGATTGTCATAATTTATTGTTGTTCAGGTGGTATAAATAACTGCTCTGAGCCTGATGAGAGTGTTTGTTTATTTGGCCAAGGTTTTTCATATGGGCTGTTTCCCAGGGCGGCATTTTAATGGGAGTGGACGAGTGGGGCATGAGCACTGTAACAAAAAAGATAACTTATCTGTCTGCAATTTGTGTCCTGAAAGTGTTTTATTTTAATTTTTTGTCTTTTTGGAGTGTGCTCAAGCAGGAAATCTGAGTAAATAAAAGTTTTCAAAACTTGTGCCATAGTGGGGGTAGTGAGTGGCAGAAGGAGGATCTCACACCTCTGTGTATGTGGCCTTGTATTTGATGGAGTGTAAGGGCCATTTTCCCAACAAATACTACTTTGTGGGAACCAACAGCTCCTTATGGGGCTCATAAGAAGAAGTTCTGTGTTTGGGTTATAGGTCATAACACACACACATTAGAGACTGAGGTCTCTGGATGGATTTCCATTCATTTAAGTAACTGCATTTATGCCAAACCCAGACATTTTCCAAAACTCCAACCATCACTCGTCTGTTCCAAACCTGTGTAAGGGCTGCAGGAGACCCCAGCATCCTCCATGTGGTCACAGTTATGCTGCTCCCAGTCGCTGTGGGGGCACTGATCCAGGAACAACTCATTTCCTGTGCACTTCACGGCATCCAGCAGGATGGGGCCTGATCCCTGCCCGAAGTGAGCCCAGGACCAGGCCTTTGCCACACCCCTGCAACACACACACACTGAATGCTAATCAAAATTAAACTGGTCTAAAAGAAACATTACAGATTATATGTGTTGTTTTACATATAAAAATAGCATGACATAAATGCAGAAATAGTCTTTGTTGGATTTTAAAAACATTTTCACTTTTTACTTCCACAAAATTTTCTGGGTAGTGAGAACAAAACCTTTTTTTATACTTAGAAAATGGCTTCTTATACTGTATATTTATTTGGATTTGCTTTTCAGGAGTTCTTTAGACTTGGTATTGTGGGGAAATATAAAATCAAATCTGTCATAACTGAATAAAAAAGCACTTTATTCTGAATACGTCCCTTCTCCACAGCACACCCCCTGCAGCCCACACAAAATAATCTAAAGGTGTCAAACTAATATGCTATATAAAGTACAAATAAGAAATCCTAGTTGAATAATAAATGGCTACCAGGTGGCTCCTTGTAGCCATAACTTATTGATGGAGAAACGCTATAAAAGCCCTGCTGCGGATGAGTTTTTGTCCCTGCGTGTTTCTGCTTGTTTGAAACTGATGTTTAACTTAAAAACAACCTGCAGGTGACTTGCTGGAAGCAAAGAGAAGCAGCAAAACCAACAGAGACAGATGCATTGGCGCAGTGGAGCCCTGAAAACTCATCCAAACACATCCACATTATAATGTTGCAAATTTTGAAATAAGGTGCTTATTGCACAAGTAAAATACGTCACTGTGTGGCGTTTTAGTCAATAAAAACCTTCCAAATTCACATCATGTTTTTGTTTTATCAATTTGGCAAAACTTAGTTTTAGTTTAAGACATCAATACGTTTTTGAATGCCTTTGCAAGCTTTGTGAAGTTTCATTCCAACAAAAAGAAATAAACATGAAACAAAAATAAATCTAAATACATTGTGAATGAAGATAACAGTCAAAATAATCGGGGTATTTCTCCAAAATGCTTAAAACGTTAACGCGAATGGAAGTTACAATGCAAACTTTGTGAGAAATGAGGCATATTTCAAAAGCTTTCAGCTGCAGATTATATTAGATTGTGGACAATCAGCTTCTCATGGGCTAAATATTTCACTGGAGTTCATTAATTAGACTTGTAGATACTAAAAAAAGCCATTTTTGTTTGAAATTACTCTGTTTTGTCAAATGCTAAGAAGCTGCAGTGAGATCAACATTATTTTGGATTTTTTTTTGGTCCGACAAAAGCAGTTACTGAATAATTGTGTCTTTGATTGGCATCCATTATTGGAATTTCAACAATCTTAGGCTTTCCAATAATGTAAATATGTATATATGTCCATAAGGTTATACCTCAATAACTACTAAGCATTCACTTACTGTCATTATTTGTAAAAAATAAATGAAACAGACTGAATTTAGGAAGCTGCAGTGATTAAAATAAATAGTTTTAACATTTCAAATGCTAGTATTTTAAATTTAGACGTATAATGAATCCAATAAAATTACATGGACTGTTTTTGTGCTGGATCTTCATTTATTTCTTTGCATCTCTGAAGTTGTCGGCTTTGTCCAGGGAGGATTTTGAGAAGTCTGGTAACATGAAGCAGAAACTCACAATATAAATAAACTGGGCCCCATAGACCACAAATAACATCAACCATTTTGCTTTGAATTCTCAAAACGTGTCAAACACGAGTCTGCGCTCCGCCGCGTGAACACCTGCAGATCGTCGGCAACTCTTCTTTTATTTACAAACACAGACGGAGAGCCGTTCCCTGGCGCATCGGGAGACGTGTTGCAACCCGGAGCTGAACATGGGATTCACTTCTCAGTTACAACTTATTGGCTGTTTGACAGCTGGAGAGGAGAGGAAAACCTGCAGTGATGCAACGTAAGCAGGTGTTTCCCCTGGATTGTTCCTGAGCTGCACGGCAAGAACTCATTGCTCTCCCAGTTTCTCCTGCCACTCAATATTTCCAGCTCAACACAATCAGCCTAACGAAGCTCTTTAACAGATGCAGCTCTTTGTAGCTTTAGAGGAAAAGATTAAAGAAATGGAAGTCCCATTTATTGTGTTCACAAATTCTATCTTTTATTAGCCTTAAAAAAAATAAACCAGAAAATGCATCTGTAAAAAATGCATTTTCAAGTAAAGAAAAATACCAGATTGAAGGATTTTTAAACAGATTGTTGATTAAATGTGGGGGGAAAAGGTCTTAATTTGTTGTGGCATAAAATGTAATGATGATGAAAATGTCTTCTTAAATTTTAAGCTGTATGAAAATTTTATGTTTGATTTCATATATTAGGCATCAAATAAAATATTCTGCAATGTTTCTTTGGATCTTTTTTAATAAGAGACAAAACTAAACAGATTTTATTTTTCAGATGACAGAAGTATGGACGGACGTACCCGTAACCGAGCTGTCTGCACACCACCTCGGCGTCTCTGTCGTCCCACTGGTCGTCGCAGACGGAGCCCCACCGGCCCGCGTGGAAAACCTCCACCCGACCTTCGAAGTCTTCCTCGCTTCCCACCAAACGCAGCGGAGGGCCGCTACCTGTGAGGAACGTGGAATTTAAAGTGTTGGGATTAATCACAAAGAAAAGAGGTCACTTTGCAGCTCAGGTGTGACGGGGAAAATATTCAGGCGTCGTTTCAATGAGAAGTCACGCCGACCTTCAGGTGGCGCACACGCCACGGCCGCCTCGTTTCCATGGCTACAGTCACCGGTGACGAACGTCCTGCTTCGGCATTTACTCAGAGCGTCCTCGTCCCCACGGCAGCCCAGACGTTCATAATGGAAGAGGCCAGAGCCTGAGCCAAACTGGGAGAGCTGCAGCGCAGTACCAATATCACTGGGAAGATGAAAAATGGACAGGAGCAGAGTGGGTTTTTTTTATCCTTTCCACTTTCATCCAGAGAGATAAAATCATTTCCTGAATCTGACTGCATTGAACTAGATTCAGTTTGTGCTGAACTGCAGGGTAAATTGGATGTTTTTAACCAGACTGGAATCAAAATCTGATAGCATTGGACTAAATCATCGTTCAGCTGAATACAGAACGAGTTACTGCTAAAATAAACCAAACTGAACTGAATTAAAGGTACCTGAATTCAGGTACCTTTAATTGCATTGAACTGGAAGGAAATGACCTGGCATGAATGGAACTACTGAACAATTTTGATTAAACCAGAACTGAATGATTCTAAACAGATTCTAAATTAAAAATTACCTGAACAGAACTGAAGGTACGATAAGTAGATGTTGACATGAACATAACTTAGAACAACATTTTAACTAAATAAATCCACTGAATAGATTTTAACTCAACTGAACTAAAGTAAGCTGAACTAAATTAAATTTGAATAAATCAAAAAGAACTGGCATATAATCTGAACTGAATTAAATCAAATTGAATTAAATGTAATTTAACAAACCTGAACTGAATCAATAAATCTTGTGAAATTTAAGTCATAATAATTGACCAACTGTTTTTAAATGAGCTGAACTGAAATGAATTAAAATGAATCAAAGTGAATCTAAATTGACTTGAATTGAACTGAGTCAAACAGATCGAATAAATCCTCTGAACTGGTTTTAAGTTCATTTCAATTTGAAATTAACTTAACAGAATAAAAAAATCTTAATGTTAATTCAGTTCGTGTGAACTGAATCCAGAACTGAACTTAGTCGAAATAAATGAACTAAATCCACTGAACTGCTTTTAGTCAAGCTGAACTAAATAAATTGTTAAGCTAATTCAAACCGGACTGAACTGAATTGAACTTAATCAGATTACATATTACATATTATTTTATTCCATACCCCAGCCCCAGCTGCCGGCAGATAACAGTCGCGTCTCTGTCTGTCCAGTGGGAGTTGCACACCGCCCCCCACTGGCCATTCAGGTAAACTTCAACTCGCCCGCTGTCCGAGGACGAGCTGCCAACCAGACGAACTGCCCCTGAAAATCACAGAGAAGCACCAATATCTATAATTAAATAAATGTACAAATTAATTTAGCTAATTATAGTATTGTTGCTGCTAAACCAAAATATAATCACTCAATCATGTTTCACAACCTCTCTGGAAAATGAACAGACATTGACCCAAGCTGTTAATTGACTCTGCAGAGTCTACATCTACATGCACGTGTTGGGTTTGTCTCTGCTTGGCCCATTGCAATTACGGCAGTGGAGAAGTAGCATTGATGTTTCACAAAGCCAAGGAGTCTGTAATACATAAGATGAATGGTGTCTGCCAGACACATGGGTGAGGTTTCCTGAACATAACCCTTACTTAAAGAAAAACCTCAATTAGTCACATAATAGATTAAAACAAGCTTGATAATTTCCATTTGCATGATGTTTTGTTTTTCTCCTAAAGACTGGACATTTTTGGTCTCGACTGTAATTTTGTTTGCAGAGACTTCAGTATCTATTTTATTTGTTGTTTCGTTTATTAGCTTTGGATATTTAAAATGTCAGTTCCAGTGTAAAATGTTCATTAAAAATGAAAGTTTATTGATCTTTGGCAGGGTGTACTCACATTAATATTATGGTTTCAAGACAACAATATTATCGTTTATCACAATAACTTCTGGGACAATTCATGGCGAGTGTAATCGAACCGGAACACGTGTTGACGTACCTTGGTGGCAATCGCAATAAGCCCAGCCAATAGCACCTGAGTTCTGCCTGAAGAAGCACCAGGGGTTGGACTCTCGGTCCGGGTTCCTGCAGTAGCTGTGGTCACCTAGGCCGCGGCCCGGGTACTGCATGACATAGTCTGGAAACTCAGTCCACTTCAGACATGGAGCGCCAGAATCCGTCTGGGACACGGTGCCGTTGTAGTATCCCAACTCTGTGAATCCCTCAGAGCAAGACAGAGGCACTGCAGAGAGGAAGAAGAGCAGATAAAGGGAACTGCTGAGGAAGAGCAGAGAAAAAGATGTTCTGGGTGAAATGAGGAGGATTGAGGTCAGTGTGAATAAGAAAGACATGTTGTGAGAAGAAGAAGATCACATTATCCCCATGTCTGTATTTCATCAAGACATAAAAGCCAGCATGGATCATTCTCTGTCCAGTCCCACAGCAGGATTCACCCGATCCACACTGAGCACGATCAAACCCGCCTTAATGCAACACCAGCTAGCTCGAGTAATCTTCTCTGAGGAGGAAAAATATGAGAGTGAAGCTTAGACGGACTGAGAGGGGAAACTGCTGACATCAAAGTGTAGCAGAATTAGGCCACAAGATGTAAAGCAGTCAATGTGCTGAAGATCATACAGAACCAACAGCAGCGCTAATGAAAATGATGAAAACAAACCCAGAGGACAGATTGTGCTGCGTTCCAGTTAACGTCAGACCCAGCGTAACAACGTTCTAGTTTAGAAGTTGGCGTTGCTCATAAACATGTTAGCAGCAGATCTTAGAAACATAATTTTAAGCGTTACTTCCTATAAACAAACACCACTTTTATCTATTTTTATTTATTTGTTTCATTTTAAAGTTGCCCTGTAACATTAATTTTTGTTGTTACAGGGCATTTCAGTTAATTTATCTCACTGGCAAGTTGGAATTTCCCAGTTCCAAGCACAACTGGAACTCGAGAGATGAAAAACACTTAATTTAAGGAAAGTCAGTTAAGTGTGCTGTAAATCTGGAATATCAGCGCTTTGCTTTTGAGCTCAAGGCATTTTAGGCTGAAGGTAAATCTGAACTTCTCATTTTTATCCAAGTTAAAAGCAAAAACTAAAAAAAAAAAATCACTCAAACCAAAACACTATAACCTCTAAGAGGTGAAGTAAAGAACATCACGTATCGCCTCATCGTGGTCCTTTTTAGTAGGTTGTTGCATTTATTAACATTTTATCTGCAAAGCTGATGCAACAAATACAGGAAAATTGGAAAGGCTAACTGTTTGATGTGATGGCCGACTGTAAAAAACACAAAACTTCACTGGTTGTTCTTGGTCCAGTTTGTAGACCAAATATCTTAATGTGATGTAAAATGATGACCCAGATAATTAATTTATAGGTTAACTGCATGCAAACTGTTGGGGCTGTGAGGGGATTATTTTTCCTTTCACTCTTATTGGTTGTTTTCTTTCTCTTTCATTTTGCATGAAAGAGAAAGAAAACAACAATTCAGTTCATCTGCATCCTTAGCCTGCAATCTTAAGGTAGAAAGCTCCACATCTTCTAATGTATTTTTGTTTTTTTTAGTTCTTGGGTGAATTCCGCTTGAAGGTCTTTGGGGATTTTCAAAGTCGAGCGGTAACTGAGCTATGATTAATGGTGGAAGGATTCCAGCGTTAGTGCAACAGTCTTATCTCAGCAACACACACAGCTTGGCCATCCAGGAATGTTATCAGCCAAGATGCAAGTCCTAAAGCGCAACACACACAGACTCACACACATTCAAAAGGTTTTGCTCGACTGCAGCAAACACGCAAACTTGATCCAGTTTGGATGAAGAGAAGATGGAGAGCAGTAAAATCCAGGAGGTGTGAGAAAACTACTGAAGAAAAAAAATGAATATCTATGAATGATTAGGGAGCTTAAAGCAGCCTTCAACATGAAAAATCTCCACACACAAGAAATACGTGCCTGTCCCTTTAAGAGGCGTAGTGCAGGAAAAGAAAGTAAATTAGGTTTTGCTGGGGAGTGTTTATAGCTTGAGCTGTCCACGACTCTGAGCAGCAGCACATATATGTTGAGATTTCTGTTCCCTCTAACTACAAAACTTATTGTTTTCTGAGTTTTGTGTCTCCAGTCTGCGGGGATGGGGACACAGCTGTAACCTACAGGCCTGATAAGCAGCAGAAGAGGTGAGCTGAAACACGTCATCCTTTCCGGTGTAAGGACACACGCAAAAACAAACTAACGTTCTTTTGATTTTGCTTGCAGCTCCCCCCTTTTACAGGCAAGACTACACTTGGACAGGAAGTAAAAAGAGAAAAGCAATATTTAGTAGATGCATGTAGAAAATGCAGTGAGCTTTGTGTTGCGTTTCAGTATTTTTTTTTTTTTTTTGGTGTGTGTGTCATTAAACACAAAACAGATCGAATGGTAAACAGAGACGTTCATGTGTTTTATGACAATAGCTGGTATTTACAGGGCGTGGCATTGTCTGAGTAACCCTTTGTGTGTATTCATTGACAGATTGCTTCAAAAGATATATAGCTTATGTAATTATCTTTTGCTTTATAAGGAAGCTTGTTACATAATCTGAGAAGAAAGTTGCTTATATAAACCTTACTGATCTGTATATAAAATATATAATTTCTGATTTGCTCCTTTAAAGAAAGTGGTTATGTCTGATTGTATTAAGTGCCTTTCACTCACTGTTAGCAACAGGTCATCTAATGGTTTAATGGCTCTTTGTTACTTTCACAGCTATAGCCATAAACTTTGATGTATTTCATTAGGATTATATGTGACAGATCAACACGAAGTACCAGACTGAAGTCTTTTTGCTGCCTTTAAGACGTTTTCTTCCAGGAATTATCTCTATCCATTTTCCCATCTACTATAACGATCTTTTGAGACTTGAAGAGGAATATCCGTAAAGCAGCAAAGTGCAGGCTAGCAGCAGAAAGCCTGAACAAGTAACCAACTCATGTCAGTTTGATGTTTTTGTGCATTTTATTTTCTTATGTATTGAAAACATAAGCATCATAACTACACAAAATTGTAACAATGACATGTTAATTTAATATTTTCCAATCAATCAGCCAGAAAGTTTAGAATTTGATCCGCTCTAATCAGTGATAATATTCTTAAAATGCATTAAAAACTTGTTTAATTTTCAGTCTGCAGCCTCAGCAATCTGCATGTATTTTAAAGTGCCTTTTTTTGAAGTTTAGAGGAGCTAAAATAAATTTTATCAACATGTGCTTTAGACTAATTAAATTAGAACAATCTTGTGAATTAGGTTTTGCTGTTGGATTCTTACCTATTGCCTATATCCAGGAATCAGTGCAAAGCTTTTTTTTTCATTTATGTGCTAAAGATTTTATTAAAATATTTAAAAACACATCTCTGGGGAAAAAAAATAAAGACCACTGCACTGAACCCTATTGAAAACCTCGTGGTTCTTCCACCAAATATTGGTTTCTGAACTCTGCCTGAGTTGAAACGTCAGTATTTCTAAATTGTGTCTGTGAACTTATTTACTTTGCATTGTTTGAGCTCTGAAAGCTCAGCATCTTTTCTCATTTTCTGTAAATCAACACTAAATTTTTGCTTGGAATTTCAGAGACATGTTGTCAGTAATTCATAAGAGTAAAATCAGAGGAACTGGTACTTTCAGTGGTTTATATTTTAATCAAAATAAGAAAAAACATATAGAATATAGACTCAATATAGAATCAATAGTTAAAAAAATAAGAAATATATATATATAAATTGTAATCTTTATTTTAATACCATAAAATCCCCAAAAACATCTCCTTAGAGATGTTTTTGGGGATTTTTTAAATGTATTTTTTTTGTTTTGGTTTTTTTCCTGGGTTTTTTGTGTGCCAGTCAAAAATCACCAGAACAGCAAAGTGATGACTGGTTCTCTTTGTAATAGTCCAAAAACTGAGTGGAGATGCTCTGGTCAGTCAGCCAGAGTTACAGTCTAGCAATTTTACTTTATCTAAAACTGACAGAAAGATTTTTTTAAAAATTCCTTGTTTTTGTTGTAGGACAAAACAACTGGCAAGTTAGACCTCAAAGCAGAGAACGTCCGTTGTAATTAATTTGTGACATTTATCATCATATGTTGATGTAATTGTGCTTTGTGTTTTTTAGAAATGGCATCTGGTGGAAGTCTCTTAACCGAGGAACACTTACTGTGTCCCATCTGCCTTGACGTCTTCAAGAAACCCGTTTCCACTCCATGTGGACACAACTTCTGCCTGCCCTGTATATCGAGCTACTGGGACACCACGTTTGTCAGCCAATGTCCAGTCTGCAAGGAAGACTTTCCAAACAGACCCAACCTTAAGGTCAACATCTTCATTGCAGATCTGTTGTCACAGTTCAAGTCTCTTCAAGGCCTGAACGTTCACAGCCAAAGGTCAGCAGGTCAGCAGCCAGTCAGCTGTGGCATCGAGGTGCAGTGTGACTTCTGCAGCAGCCAGGCTGTGAAATCCTGTCTTGACTGTGTCTGGTCGTACTGCGACGGCCATCTTCAGCCTCATGACAGCGTTTCTGAGCTAAAGAGACACACGCTGGTTGGTCCTGTGGAGAGTTTGGGGGAAAAGGTGTGCAGGAAGCATCGCAGGCTGATGATGCTGTTCTGCAGGAACGACAACACGGTGCTTTGCGACCTCTGCATCGGATCGGGGCACGCCAACCACGATGTGGTTTCTGTGCAGAGTGGATACGACGATATGACACTTCAGGTCTTGAGAAATGAGGTCAAAGTGCAGCGGATGATTCAAGAAAGGACGCAGAAGATCCAAAACACAAAGGAGTCGCTGATGCAAGGAAAGACGGAGACAAATAAGCTGATAGAAAATGGAAGTTGGGATCTAACGCAGTTGGTTACTGAGATTAAGAGGACCCAAGAGGAACTCGTTAAGGTGTTTGAAGAGAAGCAGAAAGAAGCAGAGAACCAAGCAACGGATTTAATTACAGACATGGAGAAAGAGATTTCTTGTTTGAAGGTGACGGCAAAGAATCTGGAGGAACTGAAGGAGCTTAAAGACCCAGTGTGTTTTCTCAAGCGGTACCCAAACCAGTCCCTCCTCCCACACACCATGGACCTGTCCACACTCAACTTCATCAGGCACCTGGAGGTGAAGTACATGCATAAATCTGTGAGAAACTCAGTATGTCACATGCAGGACTTACTGGGTAAGCTGAACGAAGAACTCAACAGATTCTCAAACAGCACGGACACATCAAACAAGGCAACGCTCAGGTACATGCAGCAGTACGGGGAGGACATTGTGCTGGATTTTGACACAGCTCACCCCATGCTCACCTTATCCGCCGATGGGAAGCAGGTGTGGTACAACATGGGCACTGGTTTGTGGGGAAACCAGATCCCAAAACCCAACATGTTCACTCAGCATCTCGCCGTTGTGGGGCAGAGAGGATTTTCCTCACGCAGGTTTTACTTTGAGGTTCACGTGGGACAAAAGACAGAGTGGTGTCTGGGCGTGGCAACGGCGTCACTCCAGAAGAACGGGGCGATAGTTCGGAGTCCAAACTCCGGACTCTGGGCCATCTGGTTCTTGGTAGACAAGTTTGAAACCTTCAGCTCGCCAGGCGAGGCGGTGCATGCAGGGAAAGTGGAGCATGTCGGGGTTTTTGTTGACTACAACGGAGGTCAGGTATCGTTCTTTGACGTGGTCAGAGCAGTACACATTTACTCGTTCACTGAGTGCTTATTTACCGAGGAGCTGTATCCATACTTTAATCCCTGCGATAATGAGTATGGTTCAAATCTGGATCCCATGATAATTGTTCCCGTTTCTTCTGCAGAATGAACAGAGTATTTACAGAACGGCTATTTAATTTAGATTAGAAAACACAAAATCTTACCACGTATTTTTGAAATAGGACAAAACTAACTTACAAGTGACTTTTCAGCAACATATATCAACAATTAAATCAATAAAAGTACCAGATCCAGTGGCAGATTATTTTATTTACAACAATACATTCTTCCCATGTTACAAGTGAAATAAACAAGTGGAACTAGAACTTTATTAACCAGTATTAAGGAATATATTTACTTAAACTTCTGTGTTGTGCCAACTGTGGTTGCTAGGTGATGCTCGGGGGTTGCTAGGTAACGGTGACTCATCAAGAGGTTTTTGAAAGGGCTCGTCTTTCCATACACCAAAATATATACAAGAGTCTCGTTATAAGTAAAATAATATATCAATGTTAAGGAATTGCTTACTTAAAACAAGCTCCTACATTTTGCTAAAAGTTTTGCCTTGTTTCTAATATACTAAGATATTTTGCACTAGAAACTAGTCAATACTTGGTGAGATTTTGTGTTTTATGCAGTGGAGAAAATGAGTGAAGATAAACTGTATTTAAAAGGCACACTTTGAAGATTATTTCTAAAGATAAAGTTTCTCCTTTTCTTTTAAGTTGTGGTTCTGATTTGAGTTTTGATTTCATTTTTTTCCTGCTGGCTCTTAGATATTCACTGTCTGCTGACCTTCACTTGCTGCATTGATTGTTCGGCGCTGATAACTGTCTCCACCAAATTTGTCCTCTGGTGTCGTCCCACATCTGCAGCACGTAACACCAAATTACAAACAAATCAGCCCAACTTTTACCAGCAGCTATGTGCCACTTTTAATTAACACTTTTCAGTTCTCTGGGGAACTAAAGCTGAAGTGATTTTTTGTTTGTTTGTGTGTTTTTTGAGCACATAAAAACATTTCTATGAGTATTTATTGTTTTTGTTAGAGGCTTTGTTTGCTAGCTATACTCTAAACCAGGTTTGCAACCTGCGACTGCGGAGCCACAAGAGACACTTTACCTTCCTCTATAGCTCTTACTAACTTCGGCTAAATTAAAAAAGGAACCAGCTATTGTTTCTAAATTTAGATATTATAGCAAAACTCAAGTTTTTGACTGTTTTGCAGTTTATTTCTATAATATTTCAATTGTGTTTCCACAAAAAAAACACTAAAGTGCTAGAAAAATGTTTAGGTTGGAGTCTGTGTGTTTGTTTTTTTTTTGTCCAACAGAAAATAGAGATCCATCCTTCTTTGCTAAATTTTATGTTTTAAATCCTAAAAACAGGAATGAATGCACAACCTGAGAGTAAAAATGGGTTTCAGGTTGTAAAGGATGCAGACTCCGGCTCTAAAAATTACTCAGCATGAAACCACAAAGAATAAAAAATGACGCCATCTAAAAACAAAACTTGTCTTCCTTTCATATTTATTTTAATTTATCTGTTTTTATTTGTCTTGATTCAGTTTTGATGTAAAAATCCACAATGAGTGCAGAGAACAGTTTCCAGACTGTAACTCCATGGCGCTTTTTAAATGCAAGTTAAATATTTTACACAGAGGTAAATGTTTGCAAACGTTGCCATCTTCATTAATAATTTATCTTTAAGTTAACAAAGCACCAGGATTTAAAATATTAAATAACTTAAGCTCTCTGAAGTCAGGTAAGTAGTTGTAAAAAGGCTTTTATGATTAAAATTACATGTTAAAGTTAATAAGGATTTGGTCAGGATTAGTAGATGCTGTAGTTCGATCTTTAAATATTTGTTTTCATTTTAATATTAATCATAATAATCCACCTGGTTATGTTTGCCATCTTAATATTAATGCATGGAGACGTCAGTATAATAAAAAATACACAAGAAGCTCTAAATTCTTAATATTGAAGACATTTCAGTATCTGAGTGTTTCTGTTTGGGTTTTTTGGTTTTGTTTTCCTCTTTGACCTCATGTTGCATCATTTTGAGGCGTCTAATTGTAGTTTTTAAGCTTTATTTTTTTGTATTTGTGACATTTTAGGGTAGATTTGAAAAGAAAAATAAAACAAGTGAAGTTGATTTGATTTGTTTGGACAGACTAGAGCATCTTTAATATTAACAGCATTTTAGATTCCCCCATCTTTTAAAGGAGGTTCAAAATTCATCCACAAAAATACATTAAAATAGGCATAACATTTATTTTAATAATGTTTGAATGCTTAAGGATTTTGTTGTTTGTTGTATTTTATGATTATTGATCACTTTTATTTGAATTTACATTTTTAAGTCTATATCCCCATCTTTATTTCTATAAGAATCTCATACATATTTGTGCCTAATCCTTGACTTTATCTTATATTTATTTATCTTTTCCAAACTATACTGACTCTAAATAAAAAGCTCTGCTTGTATTTTGCTCTATAAAACGTTTTCTATTCATATTAGCTCAAGTTTAATAACCTGTGAAGCTTCAACCAAAATCCCGCCTGTGTGTCTCTGCATCCACAATAACCAATGTTTTCTACATTTTACTTCCTCTCTCATCGTTTTTGCCTCATTCAGCCTCTTTTATTCGTCTCAACGCCCGCCGCGCTCCTCTCTGCCACGACAGCCATATTCTGCCCATCGCCTTGGGGACGCTCAGCCTCCCAGCTCTCATAATCCATTTCCCAGCCACAATGAGCGTTTGATACGCTTCACACTCGCAGGCTTGGAGTCCGTGTGTGTGTGAGGCAAAGGCGTTTTCCTCGCAGAAATTAAACTAATAACCAAATGAGGTCATTTTCAGCAGGTTTTAATTAGATTTTTGTTCACGTTTTGACCTGCTGAAGGGGTTTCTGGAGAGTGCAGAGGCATTCTCATGATGGGAAGGCCGAAGCTGCTGATGGATGGTGGGCTTGGAAAAGCATTAAGCCTGAATTTCCCTCGTTTATCAACGTGCCATAAAAACACAGATATTCACCCCACCCCCATCGTCGTCAGCATTATGGCTCCCAATCTTCTCAGAGGCGCACAGGGAAGGAATTGAATGAGGGGTGAAGAGGGTTGCAAGCTGTGAAGACGGGGAGATTTAAGGCATGCTTTTGTGCTGTCTGAGTCAGAATGTGGGATAAAATGGAGAGAAGGGCTGAAAGAGTAAAGAGTGATGGCGTAGGAGAAGCAGGTGGAGAAGTGGACGGTTCGCTTCCCGCCTACCTGAGTTCTGCACCTCGTTGAGGTAGCTGTCCTGAGCCACCATCTGCAAAATGAGACGCAACATTAAACAGGCTCATCTGGTTTATCCCATGTAAGAGAAGAACATGTTGGGTTGTTGTACGTTTGCATCTCTTGTGGAAAATTCACATTTTTCACATTTTTGTGCTTTTATTAAAAACAAAACAAAAAAACTGCCCAAGCATTTAAAAAAAAAACATCAAGTAATTTCTTTGCAATAACTTTATGTTATGTCAGAGTTGGCGGGCATTGTGCCGTTACTAGCAACCAAAACAGAGCTCCAGCACGTTTGGTCAGCTGGTTTTACTGCTGCATGTGCTGTATAATGGCTGCTAGATAAAACAAGTGTTTTGTTGCTGACATACTATTAAGAAACCACTTTCTGCATTCTTGCTGGTTATGTAAGAGGCTCCACTTCTGCTTTTCAAAGATTCACTGTGGTATAATTGTCATTCACCTGCAGTCTGCACAGATTTTGGCTGAACCTCGACCTGTACAAGGTTCTTCTGATAAGTCTCTGTTAACTTTTTATTGAAAAAGCTCCGGAAGCTTTTACTACTAATTTGTGAATGACTTTCAGTTCTAGTGAAAACTTGACAAGCGTTTCTAAATGCACACAATAAGGACACTCACCGGTACCGGGAAGCATGAGATGTTACATTTTATTTGTGAGATCAGGATACAACCACAGAAGGACACACTCGCCTCTGTGGAATAACTGCAGCAAGGCCGATGAAACACAAGCTGCTTCACCTTCACACAGATGATCTCTGCTGCCTCTTCTTCGCTCAACATCGACACGCTGCACACACAGGGCCAGATCCAACGGTGTCCTCGTTTATTAAGAACATGTTGGCAAATTCAATTTAATCAATTGTGATTTAGAAGCCCCAACATCAAAAAGATGAGATGAACTTTGCTTCAAACAGTAGCGACTCTGACTGGGAGAGAAGTGGAGAATATCTCAAGTGCTGGTGGCTCATTCTTCACTTTCCTCAGAAAGCAAAATTGAATCATTGAATATCCTCCAATCCGACTTAACAAAACTCCAGTTCAAAGTTTCCAAACTGCTGGAAATTGCTCCGGCAGTTGCGATAGCTACTGATGCTAGCCATGCTAATCGATGATAAAAGTTAGCAAAAACAGTTTAACCATCTGGACCAGACTTTAGAAAGGCCCACAATGTTTTTATTGAATGCATGTTTTGCGGATATTGTACTTTACATCAGAGTTATAGGCACATATTTTGAGACTTTTATGAATATAAACAATACTCAGGTATTTGAAAATCATGACGTTATAGTATTTCTTTTTGGAAACAATTGAGAGACGTTTTAAACTTACCATCAAATGTTGGTGTCATCAGTTCATATCTAATCATGTAGACTCCTATCTACTAATTTACTGTAATTATTAGCATTAGCAAAATATTATTTCTTTAGTAGATCAAACAGTTTTCCGCATCCCGTTAAACCTGACTCTGGTCACCATCTTGACTTTGTTTCACTAAAATAAGCAAAACTTCTGTTTTATTGAGTTGCATGTTGTGACTTTCCTCAATCACTCAAATACGCAGCTGGTTTTCGGGTATTTTCTGATATCTTCAGCAACATTTGCATCCCAGTAAAGTTGAAAGGTTGACAGCGTTTTAAAACTACATATGAAAGGATGGTTCCAAGGCTTATTTTGTAATTATCAGTCTTAAAATATTAATACAACTGAAGATATAGATACAAACGGTTGTTTGGCAGTAACTTGACCTGCATTGCTAACAAATTGTGCTGGATGTTAAATTGTCCCAGAAATGATTGCGATAAACAATAATATTGTTGTTTTGAGACCATTTTCAAGTAAAATAAGAATGATGGCGTAACAATGCAGTTTGAGAACCGTTAGCATCTCAGCCATTGTCATTTACTTCAGCTGTCGGAACATCCTGCAGTGCATGGCATTCTGTTGGCCAT